CATCTTCCAAACTGCCCAATAATCGTGGCCGCTGAAGTATCATTTTGTGCTGAACAACTTTGTGTTTAACTAGCAACTGAAACAAAAAATGTCATTAAGCTCTTATGATGACAATTGAATATCAATATCTTTCAAAACAGAACTCATTCTGTATATAATACAGAGCTTTCAGAGTGACATTTCAGAAACTGTCTCCGTCTCCATCATCAGGGGCCCAGACAGTTTTCGAAACAATGAAAATTAACTGCACTTCTGCATGACTGATCATCTGAGAAGACTTCACTGCAAAATGTATTCTGGTTTCACTAATCTGACAAATACATTACTTCAATATGGAAAATAACAGGATTTGTAAAGGTATCAAAACCACTGACAACATTTCAGCCAAAGGGAGTGGAATTTGAATGCTCATTTGTAAAAATATCTTGTTGCCAGAAGTGCCTCAGTCATTAAAAAATCTATTCAATAAAGGATAGTAAGTTATTAAATACACCTAGGGCAAATAAATACACACTACTTTATGAAGTAAAAAGAAGAGAAAATCTGATAAGGCATTAAAATATGTGACAGAGGATTAAACATGTATATTATGAAATTGTGAAAACAATAAGTACATAAAACTGACAAAAGTTTTTTCCCCCAAGAGATGAAATATTTCAGTTACAGAAAATATATACACATCAAGGAATTGAAAAAAAACCAGTAAGGGCACACTGAATACTTACATTATAATTATTACAACATACTCTCAACATTAGGTGTAAAAAATGAACATAAAATCATTAAATTAATATTACATGAATTAAGAAAGCAAATATTTGCCATAAGACATCTATAAAAAAGATAAAAAAATGATTTGCTGAATTTTGTTATACAGAGGTTGAACTAACCTTTTCTGTTGCAAACTTCTGGTGACATAGATGACATTCCAACAACTTTTCTGAATGACCAAGGGATCGCTTGTAATGAGACATCAAATGCTTAGCAAAGGAAACCACACTGGTATCTTCAGCACAACAAATTCTACAGCGCCATCTATCAGGTGTTCGTCTTGCACCAAGCTGTCTGGCTGGCAACTGTTCTGCCAGTTTCTGGGTCACTTCGCGACCTGAATAAATACAATTCCTTCGATATTCTTGGAATTATTATGTGAAATTCATTACTGATATTTTATATAAAATATCAATAACAAATTTTCTATAAATATCAGAAACTAGACTGATATTTTTCAATGATAACTTGTATTTAATCATAAAAATATGTTCAAAATGACTGAATTTGTTGAGCAGGACTAATAAAAAAATATCTCACCTCTAATAAGTGAAAATTAAATTAATCACTTTCAGGAACATAAACATTCATGTATCATGGATACAAGAACTGGTGTAAAAAGGTGATGGGTCCCAACATAAAATTACTGTTTAGATTTAAAAGCTGTATCCTTCCCTAGCATTTACTGAAAAATGTTATGATGATTAATGTGTTGCATGACCTACTGAATATAATATAATAATTGAACTGCCATGTTTATCTTACTTAGCAACATCCCATGGAAATTCTTTTTTTCTTTCTCTTTCAGTTTCTGCTTCGACTCATATACATGGTCAGAAGTCTTGTCTCGATTCGCCTGGAAAAAATATTAATTACCATTACCTAAAATTTGAATTACAATGATTGGATAGCAGAGTTAGTTAAAGAAAATCATAGCAAAGTGAATTTCTAGAAGTATGTAATAAAATAATAAATGGTGAATACAGCATTTATAATATTTTTTGTATTAAATTAACTCTACATATTATGTCACTAAAGAAATGCCTTTTCTGCAACTTTATACACAGAGGCAAGCATGCAATTGTCAGCATTTACTTATAACAAATTTGACAACAATGACAAATTTGATTGTGGTCTTTGGATTTTGACACTGCATAGTCTTACAGGTGGCAGGCTAACAATGCTTTAGAGGAAATTATACCATACAATTTCTTTATTCTCACAAAATTCTCAACAAGGAACACACGTTTTTAAGTACTTACCTCATCATGGTTCAACATAAATACAAACAAATCTCATAGTTAACCAGTCACAAGGACAAACATGCAACAATCAACGGAAATGAACTGCACACTTCTCACAGTGGTAGACTGTTTACGTTAAAGCGAGTTACTGCATGTTGGCCACCTACCGACTACACAAATGCTCAAATGAAACTGCACGGTATATGCTGAACCTCTTCACTGTACTTCAATAAATAAAACAAACATTAACAGCATTGGTTTAAATGCTTACATCTGATGTGAGATCTATATTAAAAGGCACTGCTCCCATTTTGACAGCATAATATGGAGCATACCAAACTTTCAGTTGTTCACCAGCCTGTATATCTTTCATCACAGTATAATAAATTTCTTGGCCCATCTGAAAACAAATATGAGTGTTTATTAGATCTTTTTACAATCTTTGAACATGAGAGTACCAATTCTCTCAAACAGCTATGTTTCTAACATCAAAGAGCTATGTTGGTATTTTACTCCTTTCAATTTTCTCAGAGCTATGTTGGTATTTTACTCCTTTCCATTTTCTCATATGTTTATTACATAGAAGAATTACATAATTTTCTAATTGAAACAAAAAAGTATATTTTAACATTGTAGTCTGCTGTTCAACTTTGCTGTGACCATATTTTATGACTGAAAGTCTAAATGGATTTATACCCTTTTTTTTATTTATTTTGTATAATTTCCCTGTAAATGAGAACTAAAATATAAAAACCAACAGTACTTCGACAACTAAAATAGTTGGTTACAACAAAAAGTTTATATTAATGTTTTAAAACGTACTCTTTATTTTTGGTAGAGAAACATATATCAAATACCTGTGACATGTGGACTTCTTATCATGAAAATGTGCAAAGTGGAAAGTAATAAGTGAACTTCATTTTAAATGGTACATTCTGTAAATACTTTATAATATTTAATCATCTTAATCATCAGTCTCTATGTGTACATGCTGATACTTTAGGAGAAATGTGTAATACCTAAGGATTATATACATGGCTGGTTTTACATTTCTGTATACAAGAATTTATTTTTCTTCAACACTGTATTGAAACAGACAAATGACTATAAAATGATGTATGATCCAACTTAATTAAGAAGAAATAACTCCACAAAGAACAGTTCTTGCCTGATAACAAATAAGATTTTGTTCTTTACAGTATGTGGCTGGGGCAACAAGACACATCCAGTTGCATGCCTCCTCATCACTTGTATCCAAATAATAACTGGTTTCTTCAGTTTTACCAAAAACCTGAAGACAAAATTAACACAGAAAGTTAAGATACTGCAGAAATCAATCTGGTATTCCAATACTCTTTACTTTAGCCACCCTCTCCTTGGTGATACAACATGCCACATTTTAAAAAATCTCTAAGAACTGCAGTTCTGACATGGTTACTGTAAACTTTCATAAACATGTCCACAAACAGAAGAACTGAAGAAAAAAAATCATTCATTCAACATAAGTAAGCAACCTTCATTCTGATGTTGCTGTAATCTCATTATCATCATTTGTAGTGGACAACATAAACAAATTTAAAAAACTCAGATATCCACAATATAAGTATGATACAGAGACAACCTTCATGTGCCAAACACTAAACTCAATAAACATCAAAAAGGAGTTTACTATACTGGAATTAAGCTATTAAATACCGAATCTCAATTATTATAAATGTATGTAAGCAACAGGAAAAACCAATCTGAAAGAAAGGAGAATGAATATTGTGAACAAATAATTGAACCCATACTAATTCCATCTGTAGTTCATAATGTCAGAATATTCCCTTAATTTACTACCACCTTTAATGGAAAGTTGACAGCAGGATGAAGCATTTGAGTATGTCTGGCTATAAACGGTCCAAACTGAACACTTCGAGCAAAAGGTGCTCTTGCTACAACTGTTGTTGAGTTGTCAGCCAAATTCTGTACTTCCAAATTTGCAGGCAAAGTCAATCTGGCTCGAGTTGGAGTCTTTGTGTCTTCAACCTGAAAAAACAGCAATCTGGTAATAACTAACCAACACCACAAAGCAGAGTCATTGAGAAGATATCATTATTCAGTTAGTGAAGAAACTGTCTGCCATTTATGGAGCCTGAAGATTCATTACCTTGTTCACAGGAGTCAAGATGACAGAAGTGGCAGACACTGTAATTTGACATCTCCCGCATTAAAAAATATATAAATATATTGAACCTTTACATAAATTCCAGCAGCATGTGTCTTTTTTCGGAATGTTCATCTTATCTGAACTGCAAATAATTCAGTAAGGGCAAGTGGTAGGGAGAATCGAAAATACTAACAAAGTGGAAAATTCCTACATCGGATTATAATTGCATATTTTACACATTAAATCTCAGTATTATCTTAAATACTTACAGGTTTAAGCTCTCGAAGAAACGAACATGATTCTGTGTTATGGTTACGACCGCAAACATTGCAACCTACAAATGAAGTAAATATATAAATTTCTTTATCTACTGTGATAAACCCTAACCTACAACCTCAAACTTTATCCAGTGCTTCAACTTTTCGTCTTTTCCGAGAACGAAAAGACGTGAAAAGGTGAAAGGATGTAGACAGTATTTTGTTCGCATACTTTATTACCTGCAAGAAGAGATTTCTGCATGTTGTCAATCTGATAACTGTTTTATGAGGATTTCTTTGTATATCTTCATCTTTTGTAAGTAATAAGAACGCATAGATTAATCAGAGAAGTATGCAATATAACCAAATTTCGTATTTTATATCTTCTATATCTTGAATGCCGAAAATGGCTGACATAGCTAATGAATGAGTGGTGTTATGATGTCACATCCGCCACATTTCGTTACTGTCAGTTCGGGAGGGTGGCAAAATATCCTATATTAACTATACTAAAATTAAATTTATTACTGTAATGGTAAAAATCATGTCAGCTTCGTCACACTACTTCTAATGCCTCTGTATTATGAGCACTGCAAGCAGAGGTGGTAATGTCATACTTCGGGATCTTGTGTAAGTTTATAATTATTCAGCTGATAAAGACATTCTTTGATTTTACTGTACTCGAATGTTCATTGCTGTTATCACAAAAGCTCATGGTGATTCAACCCTATCCAGATCTACTTAAGTCCTTGTCATTCCTTTGACATGCAAAGCAGTATATTAAAGTAATAGGTTATAAAAATAGGCGCATTAACTCACCTAACATAACCAAATTCGAAACTTAAGTGGTATTCTGAATGATCCGAAGGTCAGTTTAGTATAATGAAAATATCAGACCTTGGGGCAAAGGGGTTTATCATTTGGTATGATTGTAACACTTTTTAGATCCACAGACCATTTGTTTAACAATAGAAACATATTGTCAATTTGGATGGCATGTTGAAGAGTATACACACGTTGTTTCTTAATAACTATAATAAAACATGGTCATTTATTCTTTCAACAGATGCTGAATGCTGGTGTATCCACATTTTGACACTGCTGGTGTACAGCGAGACTTGAGAAACTTTGGATTTGTGAAAAGGCAATGATATAATGAATGTGTATGCCTTGAAGATTGTTAAAATACTTCCAGTACTAACCTTAACTTTCACAATTTTGGTGTTTTGTTTTACTGTGTGCATTGATAATGCCAATGGTAGCTTTGTCATATTCATTCTTATGTCTCTGGAAGTGTATGTTAATTGGATAGCTATATATCTCATCAGTTACACAAATACTGACAATGATGCTAAAGATTCAAGAATAACAAACAGTGTGCCTCACAAGAACAGTGTTATATTAGACATGAATCCAGTAACTTTGCCTACAGCATATGGAGGAAGGCGTGATAATTACAAAAGGTGGGAGACTGTAAGTAAAAGTAACATGAATCAAGGCATTTCATCACAGAATATAGATATTAGAAAAATATGGTATTGTTCTAAATGTCATACAAACACACCATTCAGCTGCCATCATTGCCCTTTATGTAACAGATGTATTATATATCGTGACCACCACTGCCTGTTTCTGGGAACTTGCATCTGTTTCAAAAACATGTGTCATTTTATAATTCTTTGTATGTATGTCGGGTTAGTCAGTATATACGTGAACATTCGCTTGTTTCCGCTCCTGTATGAACATTTTCAGAAGCAAGAGGAAGGCACCATAACTTTATGGCATCTAAGTTCTAGGTGTTTCTTTCCTGTAGCATTAGGCAGATGGTTATCTAGTCAGGAAGATCTTTTGTTTCTTTCACTTGTAGCAATGTTTGATGTGTTGGTGTCTACTTCTGTCTTCACGCTAGGTTTTGGAATGTATCATTTATATCTGGCTCTCACTGGACAAAGCCAGATAAGACTGAAGGGAGGGATTGATAATCGTAATTCATATTCTAAAGGGAAAGTAAGTTTCAGAGATTTCCAAATTAATTTTGCTGTGATGTTTGGAAAATGGGGGGCATTGAATTTTATATTTCCAATTGTACTGTTAAAAAAAGTGTTGCACTTGAAATATTTTCAAAGGGAATCTAAGTATAACTGAATAATTTTAAAGAATTTGTAACAGTATGAAAAGGAAGATTTACATGCTGTTCATACAGCCATGGATGTTTGTCCGCATTTTCCTGTGTTGTGCTGTCCTGTGTGCAGGTAGAGGCCTTGCAATGGGCCAATCCCTCGTCCAAGAAGTCCTACCGAATGTCTATAGATCGAGCCAACAAAAAGTTGGGACCCGCAGTGTTCATGCACTTGAAGAACGGGTCGTTCCCAGTTCATACAGTACTACTGTTGGAATGCTTCCTTCTTTATAATTAATTAATTATAATTGTAATTAAACCTGCTGTTATAAAATTCCATAAGATGGAATACATTACATAAGTTTCTATATACTACAATATGAACACAAATTCACTGACAACAAAGAGAATCTTATTGCTGGTACTTTGCATGTTGTTTTCATGTGGACAGATTAGTGACAAGAAATCTGGTTTTCACTGACTTATTATTGGATTTTTGTTGATTCTAGTGAAGGGTTATATCTAAAATTATATTTGTAAGCTGCTCTATTGAACAATATTGGCTTCTTAATAAAACATTTGTTGGAACAAAATGTTATGTATAAAATAAATAAAAAATGGCCAACATGTTTTATCTGTCTATTCTATGAAGGGACCCTGTCTGTGCCTTCATGTAGAATATAAGTATACAATTAGCATTATAAATATGAGGGGTAAGACAGAAACAAACATTGGTTATTTTTACAAGCAGTTATATAAATGATATTTATTAGATAACAAGAATTATAAGGGAAAATATTCTTACATTCAGTCAACATTGAATAATTTAAATACTACATTCTTTTCGGTATACATAAAAAATGTTCAAGCATTAGGGGATTTGCTGCCCTATTTGTACACAGTATGACTATGGCTATTAAAGAACTGAAACTTCCATATATAATAGAATCCGTATTTAATGTTATCCCTCTAATGAAGGTTTCATTTGAGTTAATGTAAAATTAATTAGTATGTTTTCTGTGAGGAATAATTACAATAAAAATGTACTGAGGCCTGTGAAGTGCTGTGTAATGTTACTGTGCAAGGTCAATTTCATGGTATGGGTCTAATAAAACAATGGCACTTTTAATCAATTTATTTTCTAAACTACTTTCCATTTACTCACAACTATATACAGCATAATTTATAAATTTACAAAATTCATCTGTCTGAACTTATAATTCATGTTTAATTTTAGTTCTGTATCGTTTAGGATAACAAGAATGATCACAACTTGTTCTTTACTGAACTGGTTGGTTGGTTTGAATAAATTCTTATTCTTTGTTATATCATTCCATTATATATAAAAGTAAATGTATGAGAATACTGAACATCAGTTTGCCATCCTTGTATTATTACATTTATTTTGAATGAGACTAGATAGTGTGATATTACTATTTCTTCCTACACTTAACATTTATATGCTACATTATTTATTATTCACAATGCAAAAAAAAGTTAATACATCTTGTATTATATTATGGATTATCCTTACAACTGTGTATTTTGAATCTAAAGCCCTAACTTTCACTATATTAATTAAAACATATATATATATATCGAAACCACCTTCCTTTCGGCACTCTAACAATCTTAATGCTTGGAATAGATATACTTCATTAATTTCATTAAATGCTTTGTTCATTAAATTTCTCCTGAGTAGAACAAGCATAAATAGCTTTCTTAAAAGTGTACATTTTGCAGCCAAAAATAGTGACAACCTAGCACCCTGAAGAAGCCCAGCATCACCAACTTCTGAGTTCTGACTTTATTTCAAGGTCATGGAACTGCATTCCACTTCAGTTTTCAGCATAAAAAGATGTCAAATCTTACTGATCTCCATAACATTTAAATTTATGCTCCAAATTAATAAAATATTACTTTGAATATAGAGTTCTGAAACTTTAAAACTTTCAATTCAGTGACACCTAAAAATTCAATTAGATAATAGATGAAATCATGAGGCAGCCCCCGTAACAATCCTGAGAAGTGGACCAACAGGAGTTAGTGCAATCAGTATGACTGTCCCAAAATATATATATAATGTACTATTTCAATATTAGATCGAAACAAGAAAAAACCATTTATTACATGAAAGAGAAATGCACCAACATTAATTAAAATTAAATTCTAAAGCTCTGTATGAGGTTCATGATGCATTTGTTGCTTAGGATTGAAGTCACTTGGATGTATAAACAACCCCTCCATGGCCTGCCAGTGAACATGATTTGCTCCAGGGGAATTTATACCAACAATCTCTGACTGCCCATTTATTGGACGCCCATAGGTCCGTGATGTTGCTGACAAGTAACTGCAAAACATCCACCATATTAATAGTATATGATACAACAGAAGGAAGCTTGTATTACATTACCTGCATGTTTGATCTGTCATACGTTTATAAACAGAGATTAAATATTTCAACAATTCTTTAGATTTAACACAAACTAATGTAACTTATTAGTAAGCAACAAAATAGCTGAGTGTGCTGTAAACTACACATTCACTACAGACAACAAAAGTTCTCAATAAAATATTGTACACTGGTCACCTACAATAGCATGTACATGTTCTGATACATGAATCAATGTTTTATGAACTCTGTTTCCATTAGTATTAATGGTGGTACAATGACCAAGTTTCCTTCAGCAATGATTTAAACAATATCAAACTTACACTTCAGTATCAACATGTTTCAACATAATGCCTTCATCTCTCTCCCAGCAGTCACCATCACAAATCACCATCCAGTGATCACCAGTATCTCCCTCTCCTAAATGATTGAAACAAACATTTCAAGCTCAAAATTTCTATGAAATACACACAATGTAAATATTCAATTTACAATGGATTTGATTATAACAGCCTTCATAATGTACAACTTTCACTTACACATTTGAGGATAAAACATAACAAATACATGTCATTCACTTAATACAATATTGAAAAAAGACTGAATATAATATTAGAGGGTTGATGAAAAAAATTAAAGAATTTTAAAAGGTATTTGTGTAAGAAGGTAAAATAAAATTCAATAGTACACAATGAGCGGTTGGCCCTCAAAAGTTTTGTTATGGCGACGTATGTCCAATATGTGCACTTCTTGTCGCTATACGCACGTTGAGACAGCAATCCAGTTCCTACAAGACTAGATCCAACTTTTCTGGAATGACAACTTTGAGTGTCTCCCTGCTTCAGCATGGAAGAATGCACATTGTAACATAAACAGACACTGGATTATACATATCAAGGTCTTTCACGAGTGTCCACATAACATAACTTACACAACACCTGCAAATTTTCCATTCACATCCATCTTAATATTCATTTCACCCCACTCAATTTCAACAACTGACATGTTGTCAGTTCTAGGGATGGGCAATGATAATATGGAATGGGGACATTAGCAATATCTCCCTGTATACCGTTCCTCAAAACATACCTTGATCATCTCCATATGCTGATATTTCTTGGTTGCTAGATAACGGTGAGGAGAAAAGATGAGAATGAAGATTTTTTGATGTTGCCAGATGCTGTAATCTGATAATATCACCACATTTAACACGTTCCCTGTTAAAATAAAATGTATCAATTATAATTTAAATAATGAAGTAAATCAATACAAAGGAGCTCATGTTTGAGAAAATGGCATGAATGAACATTTGAAAAGCATCTCTCACATTAATTCATATTTATCTTACCCTCGAACACAATGCTTTCCAGTCTCTCCCTTAATTACCCAATGGGAATTGACATCTTCTTGAACATCAGTTCCTGTAACAGATTGCTGGCCACTGCCTGTTCCATACTTCACATCATGGGAATGTAACCGAACCTTATAACCAACATTCATCAATTTAAGGACTGAACCACATGTCACATATTTGTTGGATCGACCTATGCCCAAAAAAAAAGTTTTAACACCCACACACATCCAATTATGAACAATCCATAAAATGAAAATATTAGGGATTGTGGTCTTCTGGGTTGTGACACTACCGTTAATGTTGGTAACCACCTATAAGACTACATAGCATCACAACCAACAAGACCACAATGCAAATTTATAGTTCTATAAATACCTCCAAACTCACAAAATATTGGTAGTGTAGGTTCTGAACTTATTGAAATAAGGATTGGTCCTATATCTCTATATAACTAATTTTACTGAACAGTAACTGACAAACACTGGTAAATGTCAGATAACATATGGTCCATCAGTTTTATGTAAAACAATTGTTGATATTCAGCCTCTTT